TTTAAATAGATCAAAAAATAATATAATTATAATATTTAAGAAACTAATATCATATAATTAATATTTAAAAATTAAAGTTATTTAATTAAATCTTGAAATCAAAATTATATAACTATAATATTTAAAGAGTTAAAATTAATTAATTAAAATTTTAAAGATCAAAATTATATAATTATAATATCAGTAAGATAAAAATGCAATTAAACCAAGATTTTATTACTAATGTTTTTTCCTTTTTTTTCATTTATCCTAAATCAACACGCTCTGCTAAACAACGTAAAAGGAAAGCGCTCACCGTATTCTATTCTCTTTGTTTATCCCTTTATTATTCTTTTATTTCGTCTTATGGGCAATTTTTCAATAAATACTTCTTTTTTCTATTTTTGGAATGAAATCGATCGCACTACTCTTCTTTCATTCGGTGCTTTAATTAGCAATTTTAAGACCAGATTTAATTTTTGATAAAATTTCCCGTATAAATCTTCCAAATAAATCAACAAAAGTATCCAATTTGACATCGACGGGGAATAAAGATTTGTTCAGATTCTCATTCCCATGATTCTGTCTGATCTTAACAAAAATACTCTTTACGTTTACATAACTAGTTGAGATATAAATATATCATCGTCATCGACGACAACAACAACAAAACAAGTCGTGTGGACGTTGAAAAAAGAAAAAAAAAATCTCCTTGGGAAAAATTGCCATCACCATAAACCATAAATCGTGGGTGTAGGATTTTTTACCCTGTCCAATATCAGTGGCACAAATTTGCGAAAATGTGATATATGTAAAGTTATGGCACAAATTTCTTCCATATTTCCTGTTTTAAGGAAAACAAGTTTCCTTGATTTTAGGCCATGATTCCATGCATGGTTTCTTCTTTTTTGCTTCTTGTTTTGTTCTAGGTTTCCTTATTCTGGGTGCATACGCTTCTTCTCAATGCCTATATAAGGCATCAAGCATTTGGAGCAAATTGCAATTGTTTCAGCAATCTACACACTTGAGAAAAATCATACATAGAGAGGAAAGATTCAAGAGAGTATTTTTAGTCTATATTTGAGAGATTATCTCTTTGTTCTCATGATATTAGAGAACTTCTTGTACTCTCCTATTTCTACATAGTGGAATTATCTTGCTCTTGATCGCTCGTGGTTTTTTCTCCGTCTTTGGAGTTTCCACGTAAACTTGGTGTGTATTTATTTTTCTTGTCTCTCTACTTACTTCTCTCTATCTCTAATTAACTTGATCCGGTGCTTCCGCATTCCGCTCATTCTTTCTGATACCCAACAAGTGGTATCAGAGCTACTTGTTTAATTAGAGATTCAATATGTCTACCGTCACTAAATTTGACATTGAGAAGTTTGATGGCAAGATTTGTTTTTCTATTTGGAAAGTCCAAATGAAAGCCGTTCTTACACAGAATGGATTGAAGAAAGCTTTAGATGGAAAAGCCAAAAAGCCGGTCAACATGACTGATGAGCAATGGGACGAGTTGGATGAAAAGGCGCTTTCAGCAATCCAACTATGCTTGTCCAAGGAGGTTCTTCGTGAAGTAGCAAATGAAACAACCGCTGCTGCTTTGTGGCTGAAATTGGAATCTCTTTATATGACCAAAAGTCTCGCAAACAAGCTTCGTCTCAAAGAAAGACTATATACGATTCGTATGGTCGAAGGTACTCCTATTCAATCTCATCTTAATGAGTTTAATTCTATTATCATGGATTTGGAAAATATTGAAATTAAAATTGATGATGAAGATAAAGCTGTTTTGTTGATTGTCTCATTACCTTCTACCTATAAACACTTTAAAGAAATTATGTTGTATAGCAACAATGATACCTTATCCTTTGAAGATGTTAAATCTAATTTGTTGTCCAAAGAAAAGTTTGATCTTGATATCCACTCTGAGGACAAGGGTGAGGGTTTAAGTGTCAGGGGTAGAACTCAAGAAAAAGGGAGTACCAGTAACAAGAAAAGTAGATCCAAATCCAGAGGGCGTAAATCCAACAAAACCTGTCGTTATTGCAAGAAATTTGGGCATGATATCTCCGACTGCTTTATCTTGAAAAAGAAACAAGAAAGGCAAGAAAAAGGTAAAAATCCTGCTGAAGCTGCTAATGTTGAAACTGATTCTGATGGTGATGTTATGATATCTGTCTCTTCTGATAAGAGGAGCAAAACTGAATGGATTCTTGATTCTGGATGTACATTTCATATGTGTCCTTATAAGGACTTATTCACCACTCTTGAACCTGTTGATAGTGGTGTTGTCTTGATGGGTAATGACACCCAATGCAAGATTGCAGGAATAGGTACTATTCAGATCAAGACTCATGATGGCACTATCAAGACTCTTTCCAATGTTCGCTTTATTCCTGACTTGAAGCGAAATCTAATTTCTCTTGGCACCCTAGAGTCTCTTGGGTGCAAGTATTCAGCTGAAGGTGGAGTTCTAAAGGTATCAAAAGGTGCTATTGTTTTATTAAAAGCTAACCGTATTGGTAGTTTGTATATCTTGCAAGGATCTATAGTGACAGGATCAGCAGCTGTCTCATCTTCTATGTCTGATAAAGATGCCACCAAATTATGGCACATGCGCCTGGGCCATATGAGTGAAAAAGGCATGCACCTTCTGAGCAAGCAAGGTCTCCTTGGTAATCAAGGCATCGGTAAGTTGGAGTTTTGTGAACATTGTGTCTTTGGGAAGCAGAAAAGAGTTAGCTTCTCCACTGCAACTCACCGCACAAAAGGTACCCTTGATTACATTCATTCTGATCTTTGGGGTCCTTCTAAAGTTCCATCTTATGGAGGATGCCGTTATATGATGACTATTATTGATGATTTTTCTCGTAAAGTCTGGGTCTATTTTCTAAGGCACAAAAATGAAACATTCCCCACTTTTAAGAAGTGGAAAACTCTTGTTGAAACTCAGACAGGAAAGAAAGTCAAGAAGCTCAGAACGGATAATGGATTGGAGTTCTGTGAAGGTGACTTTAATGAGTTCTGCGCAAATCATGGTATTGCTAGACACAAAACCATTCCAGGTAAACCCCAGCAGAATGGTGTTGCAGAACGTTTAAACAGAACTATCCTTGAGAGAGCTCGTTGTATGCTCTCAAATGCTGGGTTATGGCATCAACGTGAGTTGTGGGTCGAGGCAGCATCTACAGCTTGCTACTTGATCAACCGATCTCCACACTCTTCACTTAATTTCAAGATTCCAGAAGAAATTTGGTCAGGTAATCCTATTGATTATTCTAATTTAAGAATTTTTGGATGTCCTGCATATGCACATGTTAATGATGGAAAATTAGCTCCTAGAGCTATTAAGTGCATATTTCTTGGTTATGCATCTGAATCTAAAGGTTATCGTTTATGGTGTTCTGAGTCTAAGTCACGAAGATTAATTCTTAGTAGAGATGTGACTTTTAATGAGGATGCATTATTATCTTCTGGAAAACAATCATCTGTGTCTTCTTCCAGTACTAATAATCTGCAAGGTACTAGCGAGAAGGTGGAGTTAGAGTTAAAATCTGTAGCTCCTAATGTTGATGTTCCATCTTCCTCTACCACTGAGTCTAGCATTGATGATCATGGTGATGATCATCCTATTCAGCAACAGGAAGAATATAACATTGCACGAGATAGGACAAGAAGACAGATAAAATTGCCAGCTAGATACACTGATGACAATTTGACTGCTTATGCATTGTCAATTGCACAAGAGGTAAATGATGATGTTGAACCTGCCAGCTATAGTGAAGCTGTTTCTTGTGTTGATTCTGCTAAGTGGCTAGTGGCTATGAATGAAGAAATTGAAAGTCTTCACAAGAACAACACTTGGAATTTGACAAAGCTCCCCAAAGGCAAACGACCTCTAAGGTGTAAATGGATCTATAAGAAGAAAGATGGCATTCCAGGGGTTGAAGATCCTAGATGCAAGGCGCGATTAGTCGTTAAAGGCTTTTATCAAAAGGAAGGTATTGACTTTAATGAGATTTTCTCACCTGTTGTTCGTCATACTTCCATTCGTATTTTGCTTGCTTTTGTTGCTCTGTTTGATTTAGAATTAGAGCAACTTGATGTAAAGACAGCTTTTCTACATGGAGAGCTGGAAGAAGAAATTTATATGGATCAGCCTGAGGGATTTGTTGTTCCTAGTAAGGAGCATCTTGTTTGTCAATTAAAGAAATCTTTATATGGCCTCAAGCAAGCACCCAGACAATGGTATAAAAAATTTGATTCCTTTATG